GTATATATATATATAGATAGATAGATAGATAGATAGATAGATAGATAGATAGATAGATAGATAGATAGATATAGATATAGATAGATATAGATAGATAGACAGACAGACAGACAGATATAGATATAGATGATATAGATAGATAGATAGATATAGACAGACAGACAGATGATAGATATATAGATATACAATATATATCCTATAAATACAGAATCATAAAATCATAAGGCGGAAGGGCACCTTTTTATTTGTTTGGATCCTGCCTTTATTATTTTTACAAATACTTCAAGGCACTGAACATATTCCATACACCTTCTTCCTCCTTTTTCCTCCAAAACAAACCTGTGATGTGGTTGGCCTGAGATTGAGTGACTGGCCCAAAGTCACCAAGCTGGTTTTCATGGTTAAAGTGGGACTAGAACTCACAATTTCCCACTTTCTAGCTCGGTGCTTTAACCACTAGACCAAACTGGCTCTTCAAAGCTGGCTTTTAAACAATCCCCTGCCCAGGGTGGGAATCCTCAAATTAGGCTCAATAAACGCCCGACCAATTTAAGTAATATATCCCACATGTTCTTTAGGTCAGCAGCAAGGAGATGCCAATGCAGTCTAGACTTACTCTCCTTTGACTTCAGTGCAATTGCCTGTGGGGCCAGAATAGATGACGGACTGGTTGTCATGGAAAACGAGGTATTGACGGCAGAATTTCACATTTTCCGCTCTTTCCAAGTCCCGCTGTGACCACTCTGTAAGTAGAGATTTTACTATTATTTGATTTACCTAAAGAGTCCTATTTCTGTCTAGTCTGACACAATAGAAAGCCTCCTTCACTGAATGCAGAGAACCGCTATCAGAATTGGATTCTCACACTGCATCAAGTTATCAGATGGATTCCTTAGTTTAGGTTTCATGCATTGTGTAAACCTCCCAATTCAGTGAGTGTGTTTTGATTAAGGAAATTGTCCCCCATTATGCTTTCTTCAGTAAAACAGACTTGTTTTTTTAGTGAAGCGGTTTAAAAAAAATCCACCAATCATTCAATGGGGGAACACAAAAGAAGTTATAGTTATCAGTAACGACTATCCTTCTCATCTTTTGTCTGCAATAGAAACTCTTACAGGTACTGTTTTTGAGTGTTTAATCTCTTGGGATCATCAGGAAGGAAGAGAGATGTCAATCAAACACAGAGCTAGAAAAAAAGTAATGCTTATGCTTAGTCTTCTGACTTATTTTGCTTATGGGATTGAGGGCCCAATGATGTGGGTTCAACTTTAAAGAGCTTACCTGTATAAATATTGCAATGTTTGCCACCATACTGAGTTGTTACTTCAGGCCCAATACAAGCATGGGAAAGCGAAGGATACTGGCTCAGATCACGGTACAAAGCAACTATTTCTTCTGTATCATTCAGCAACTATACATTACGCATATAAAAAAAGTGCCATAATTAGTTGTGATGGACTCAAGAGAAGGGCAACATGTTTACAACTAGCCATTTGCTCAAGTTAGCAATCAATAGTGAAGGAATTATGTCACATTGGCACAGCAGCCACAAAAGCCCTGGAAAACATAAATGGCGTATGTGTCCATACCTACTAAGACCAGAATCTTGGAAGCCATTCCCTGTGACACTTTATGGAAGCAAAAGTTGGACCATGAAGTAGGAGGAATAGAAGAGTATTGAGGTATTTGAATTTTGATGTTGAAAACGTCTGAGAATACCATGGGCAACCAAAAAAACAACAACCAAGCCAATGGATCATTGAACACATCAACTCAGAGTTCTCACTTGAGATACATATGACCAGGCTCAAATTATCCTACTCGGCACACATTATGCAAAGATCCAACTTTCTGGAGAAGGCTCAAATGCTGGGAAAGGTAGAAGGGAAGAAGATGGCAGAAGCAAGATGGATGGATTCAAGTACAGTGACAATGACAGCATCCTTTGGGGTCCTGAAAGAAAAGGTTAGGGATAGATTGCCATGGAGAAAATCTATTGCTAGGAATCAAAAACGACTTGATGGCACAAAGTCAAGTTATAAAAATGGTTTTTGAGTGAAAAGCAGGGGTCAGGAAATGCATGAGCTGGGACCATTATGACAATTTGCACCCAGCTAGCTGGGAAGTGTTGGCTCTTGATATAATAAATTTTAGTCTTCTGCAGGGTAAGAGGTCGATTCTATCAGGAGTTCCTAACCTTTTCCCCCCACAAAACACTGGAATTATCACCGTGAAGGGCAGAATTATACCAGTGCTATAGATAGAATAGACTTGTCTTTAACTGAACTGAATTCCTGATGCGGGGATGAACAGAGTGAATTGGCCAGATCAAAGCTATTTGCCAACTCAGCCCCACCTCATCTCATTCATTGCCACTGTTGGATGGAAACTGTTTAACCGAAACGCACAAATGATAACAGTAGCAATAACAGGAGTACTAAAATACACAAAATTAGGTCCTTGGAAGCAGTTACCACCCGTGCTGCTCTAAAGAGGAGAAAGCAATCCCAAAAGAAAAGTGCAAACAATGAATATTTAAAAGTAGGGCTTCATTAGGACGGGCGTCAGCACAATCAAGGTAAGCTCCTGACATTTTTTTATTCTTTTGAGGATAAAGATCCCGTTTAATGGCTATGAAAAAGAGACTTTTTGCAATGGAAAAGGAGATAAACTGAGACCATCTCTGTCAGTAGCTTTCTCACAGCAACCAGCCGTAAAGGAAAAACGTGTCTTTCTGCCTGTGACATTATGCATAGAGAGGTTTTACCTGTTGAGCTTTGCGCTATGTGATGAAGGTATATTGGAAGGTATATTATCATTTGAACCTTCCTGAAGCTGGGATTGAAGCTGCTGGATACAAGGGGTGAGTCAGAGAGACAAAGAGNCATACCGCAATTAATAACAAATTAAATGTGAGACTAATATAGAAGATAAAGGAAAGGAAAGACAACAAATGCCAGGTCCCACATAACCCATAACCATCTCTATAGATGTCCTCCTATCATTATAAACCTAGATCAGTTTGGAAACCTCCATGTGACTTTAAGTTTAGATTGTTCCTTGACTCAGCAGACCTGATGCTTTAAAAACATCTATCTGGAAGAATCTTTAGAGGATAGCCAGATTGGATACATTTAGTTTGTACAAAATACTCTTTGGCTCAGCCTAACAATCCAGCAATACCCTTACCTGCCTGCTGCGCTGAATTGTGTCCAGCACAACTCTTTGACTGTCTGCTGCCCAACAATGCTCAGGCAGTGCTGTGCTATATATTCCAGCAAATCCATCTGGAAGAGAGAGAAAATTCATGCGGGCAGCAGCTGTTTTCATGAAATTAAGACAGAAAAGCTCCATTGGGAAGTATATTTCACCAGATTTAGATTCTCTAAATGCTCAGCATTCAACATATTTAGGAGAGATATGTACAGGTGTTCACAAATCCACTTTTGTTTATCAGATTTCAGATCTGGCATTTTCCAGTTTTTAGTGGGGGGGGGAACCCCCTCACAGATTGGCCTATTCGAATAAGAATTAAACTTATTAATGTGAGGCTAGTAAGGGATTCTTTTCAGCTTTTATTTTTAAAGAAAATATGAAACACGTATGGCTTGGGCTTTATTTATTCCACAAGTATTCCTTTTTAAGCACTTCCTAGAATGGTAATGTAAACATGTTAACATGATCCTTCCAGAAGTGCCAGAGAAGGGAAGAAGCTCCTATAGAAAATACCCGGCAGTAATGTAAGTATATCAGGATTTCCAAAGGTTGAAAAACAAAAGCTTGGAAGGAATTTTAAAGTTATCCCTTGCATTAAAAAAAAAAAGCCATTTCCCTGCCACTAAATTATTTCTTGTTTTTAGAAGGTAGAATTAAGGATAGATCTTTTGTATCTAATGCTCCTCCTAACACAGATTCATGTGGAGCAAAAACTTTAAAGAGGAATTATTTTACATCCATAGTTCAGAAGGCCATTTGTATCACATTACTCACCCTGGATCTGTCGAGGGACAATATCCACTATCACGGAAGTGAGTTTTGTGTACCAGTCATACTGAAAAAAAAAGGTTGAAAGATATCAAACTGGGATGTGGCAGGAACAACTTCCTGGCCTCTCAAATNACTGCAAGTCTTTAAGAAGATGTTGGATAGCCATCTCTCTGAAACGGTATAGGGTTTCCTGCCTAGGCAGGGGGTTGGACTAGAAGACCTCCAAGGTCCCTTCCAACTCTGCTATTGTATTGTAGGGACCAAAGGGAGCCTTCTCAGGAGTAACACGGAAAGGAGAAGGGAAACATACCAGTCCTCCTTCCCCATTCATCGCTCTCGCTCCAAGCGGAGGGAAAGAACTACTTACGCCATCCCCATCACACTACGGCGGCCTTTGGGGAAGCACCGAGCAACAGGGAGCTGTTGCTACCCACCCGCCGTTCACCAACACGCGCGTCCGGCCCCTGACGGTCCCTTACCGGGGGTTCCATGGCTCTCTTGATCGTCGCCCCGATTCCCGAGAAGTCGTGGAAACTCCTGTTCGATTCCCCTCGAGGAGGAGGATCCATCACCTTTGAGCTACTTGGTTATGATTGGTTTCGGGCCTGTCAGTCAAATAGAGCCAGCCCGTAGAGAGAGGAGCTGGCAAGCTTTCCTCCATCCGGAGACGCGATTCAGCCCCATCCAGGGCGGGCGGAGGGACGGCTGGGCGGGGACGCGCAGCCTTTGGAGCCAAGGCATCATAAGTTTAATTCCTTTCCCCAATCCGGTCAGAAGCAGGGCGGGGGCTTACCCCCCCTCCCAACCGAAGCCGGGCCCTTTTTCCAATGGGAAGCCTGCAAACCTTTAGCCACTTCAACGTTAGATGCTAATAATAATAGTACAGCGTTTGGGAAATGTTAGGGCCGTAAGGATGAGGGCGGAAGCTAGGCGTGGCTTCAGGAGTTGCGCGTCATTGGAAAAAGGCACGGCTGCTTCAGTAATTGAGAGGAGTGCTTGGGAGATACCACTATTTGGGGGGGGGAGCCCGTTTTCCGAAAAGTGTGCCCAGTTCATCTTTTAGCCCCGTATGACAGGCTGAAGTGAGATGGTCTCTTCCATATCTGAAGGAAGGCATCATCTGCCCCAATCACTCTTGGCCAGTGTGATTCTTGGGAAATAGCACTTAGCAATAGCACTTTGACTTATATGTCGCTTCACGGTGCTTTACAGCCCTCTAAGCAGTTTATAATAAATTTACCCCCCTCCCCCAACAATCTGGCTCCTCGTTTTACCGACCTGGAAGACCAAGTCAACCTTGCGCAGTTGAGAATGGAACTGCCCAAACTGCTGGCAGCCTGCAGTTAGCAGAATTGACCTGCAGTACTGCATTCTAACCACTGGGCCAGTGTGGCTCAAGAGTACCATAGATTCCCTACCCACCCCAATTTCTTTTCTGTAACAACTAAGATGGAAATAAACATTGGTTTTGATAGTAAAGCTCAAATAATATAAAGAGATCAGCGATATTAAAGCTGTTCAAATTGCCTGTCATCATACACACTGTCTTCCATAGATGAATCTCACACACTCTGTGAAGAATTGCCCCCAACCACCAGCTTCACTTGATGTATTCTGCATTCTAGGGCTACAGGATTAAAAAAAGAAAGCCCCTCCCCAACTCACTTTCCCAGTACATGGCTGCTTCGGTGGTGGTGGTGGTGCTGAGACTTTATCTTTATGCATTCCATTCAAGCCCTCTTTTAAAGTGTTACAAGACTGCTTTAATGGAGGAAATCTGAGGGAAAAACATCAGCTTTAATAGCAATAGCACTTAGACTTACATACTGCTTCACAGTGCTTTACACTCGTCTTTAAGTGGTTTACAGCGTCAGCATATTGCCCCCAACAATCTGGGTCCTCATTTTACCCACCTCAGAAATATAGAAGGTCGAGTCAACATTGAGCCGGTGATATTTGAACTGCCAAACTGCAACTGAAGTAGCCTACAGCAGGTGTGATCAACATTTTGGACCCTAGGGACCACTACATTCATAATTTTAAATCCCGTGGACCACTAATATGAATTAGTGATGGGATGGGGTCTTTCAGGCACTTAGCTTGGCCGCCTGTTAGCGGAGAGAAGTGCCTGGGGTCAACCCTAAGTTTGCTGTTCATTGCGGCTAGGAATCTCAAATACAGCCAAGAATGAATGTTTGTCTTATAGCGAGCCCGGGTGCTAGATCGGCCCCCTGCAAACTCTGTCTTTCGAGGAGTCCAGCCGAAGTTTTGCGCACCACTCACCAAAGCAGTTGGACTCCCAGGGAGAGAGGGACGGGAGGGCTGGAGCTACTAAATAGGCAGCCAAGCTAAGTGCCTGAAGGACCCCAACCCACCAGTGAGCGGGAATAATTGCTTCGGTGGGCCTTTTCCGGCTCATGGGCTGTATTATGAAGATATAGTGCAATATTAAAAAAATGCAAAAATGCAAAGATTTTTCTGCGGACCACCAAACTTTTGTTGTGGATCACCAGTGGTCCATGGACCACCGGTTGTTGACCGCTGGCCTACAGTACTGCACTCTAACCACTGAGACACCTCGGCTGAGAGGTGCTGCATTTGAAGAGGCCCAAAGTATATATATATTTCCCCAGACTAGGTTTAAAGCTCTGGGTATTTTGCCTTATTTGCATTTCCCAGACCCCTTTGGAATGACAATCGAAATGTGGAGGTAGTTATCAGGTTTGATAACTTAGAAGCTTAGTTCAGCATCTTATTTAGTGTGTTAGCAATTCTCCTTAATCAAAAGTGGAAAGCCATTTGTCAAAGCCTCTTCCAATTTGGTGTCTATTGTTTGTCTATGTCCCTGTCCTTCGGCTCATGCTTCAACAATTAGGATGCTGTGGTTGTAGTTTCTGGGACAGTATGTATATTTTACACTGCTTTAGCTTTCATGATATGTTTTGGTTAGAAACTAAAATTTAATTGCTTCATCATTCTTGCTGTTAAACACAAAAATAATGTAAACATTAAAGATAACATACTAAAACTCATAGTTTGGTTGCTTTGGGCCAATTGTGGTTTGTTTTGTAAATCATAGTTAAAGAATATGAAACCATACCCCGTTTTCATTGCTGCCTACTGATGTTTACAGTCATTCTGTACTTTGGTTGTTTTTAGAATGAGGCATGAGAAAAGCCTCACTACCCTGGTTCCTCCTGAAATGCTTAGCAAGGATAGAACTGAAGAGAATTTCGGCTGCTTAATGTTCCACTGGTTCTTTCTCTACCCCAAAATTTCACTGATGGGCTATATCTGATAGTGCCACATGAACTAGAGATTGACGAAGAGGTGCCAAGGGATCCTGTCACAGAGATTGAAAGCAATCAACAAGCAAAGGAGGGCCTAAAGGAACTTATCTAAGGGAAGCGACTGAGCTAAATAAACAATGTTAAAAGTTCCAAAGGGAATAACTGAGCTTATTAATAGTCGTACCTCATGAGGCCTCAACTTTTAAAAAAGAATTTAGGATTAAAACTGGAAAGAATAACCTTCTTTATTTCTGGATATGTTGAAGCTGCATTTCCCAGAATTCCTAAGCAGAATGTCTTTAGGAATTGCTATGCCAACACATATTGGAAGTATGGGTCTAGAAGGCTGGTGTAGGATGTATGTAAGCCAATTTCATAGAGATAACAGAAGACAATGTTTCTTTTTTCTAAGGAGAGCTGTCCTTGAAAGCTGTTCATGAAGGAGTACTGTCTTCTTCACTGAAGGAAGGGAAACCCTCTAAACCAGCATTTTTGAAACTTAGCAGGTATGTGGACTTTAACTCCCAGAATTCCCTCGCCAGCATTCTGGCTGGGGAATTCTGGGAGTTAAAGTCCACCCTTCTTAAAAGTTGCTGAGATTGAGAAAAAACTGTTCTGCACAAGGGGAAGTGCCTCACTTTGGACTGCCACCTTGGAAATAATTGCTTCATGACCCCATGGGGGAAGAGAATGCCCCTCTCTTGGCAAAGAAAGGGTTCTTCTCCTCAGTGTGTGCCAGCACTGCCTGTGTAGGCTTACAGGTTCCTGTGCCAGTACAATACGGGGAATAGCGTGTGCCTCACAACTCCCACAGGAAAGCTGTGCAACTACTAATCTGCCAACCACTCTTTCTAAATTTGAATCTGGCACTAGATGACGTTGGCTATCAGCGGGCATGAATCTCCTCTTTGCTTGCTGATGTTGACGACAAAATTGGTCTTTTGGGGAGTGTCATTTCCGCCGATCTAGCCAGCAAACTCTCAGGGGTCAAGAGGCTTCTCCCTGTGAAATCTCATGAGGAATTAGCCTCCTGAAAGTGTGGCTGGAGGCAACAAATGACACATGCTGAGTGGCATGTCTGGCTTGAATCTAATCAGTAGAACAGCCACGCAAAGTTCTGGATGGCAGATGTCTCGTTCAGTCGTTGAGTAGGAGCTGCATCCGTATGGAGGTGGGTGAGAAAAATCCAGGTACAGAAACACATAAGGGAAGAGATTTCAATGGGATGGAGGAGATTTATGGGAGATATGAGAAAAGCCATTTCTCATTGTAAATTCATGCAGGCTTCCTATTGGAAGGAGCATCTTGCTTGGGCTTCTTCCTCCATATTGTCCATGAATATGCATGGAGCTTTGTTTGTGATGAGCCCTGCCTATGCTTCTATATGCAGGTGTAGATGCATATGTGCCAAATCCTTCACAATAAAAGGGGTTTAACAGCATGGTTTCACTTTGGCGCATGTACAAGTGCCCTCAAATACTAAAAAATAAAATAAAAAAACTCATCAAACATTTAAATGATTTAGCATGTCATAACTCAGTAACAACTTATTGCTGATCCTGTCTTAAAATCATATAAATAGATCCAGCTTATATAATTATAACATTATTTAAAGGGTTTTTTTGTTTTGATTGCAACTTGTTACATTGTTTTTATTAAGAATTAAGTGCCACCCAGAGTCCTTTGGAGTTAGATGGTGAAATCAATCAATCAAAATAGAATGATTTTATTATTTTTGTTTTAATTGTGGGTTTAATACAAGGATTTACAGAAATTCTATCCCTTTCTTCTCCCTCCCTATTATTTTCCTCTCCCACGTATTGTATGTTTTTAAACTTTCTCTTTTCATCAGATTCCCATTGCTGACCTCCATTGATAGCTTAAGCAACCTACTGTTCCATCTGCTGTGCTCTGTCTTTCTTCCCCATCATTTGCACATGATGTTTGTGGTTCTGACTGGCAGTTTTCATTGTGAAATGGAGAGAGGATATTTCTATTGTTGAGCCAATGAGATCTTTCAGTTCTCCTAATCACTGCATTAGTGGCCAGACTACATGTCTGAATGTTTTCTGGCATGATCTCATTCCTGCCACTTTTAGAAGAAGATCATTAAGAAGTGCTCATCACATTGTTGTTGATAAACATATTTAAATGATATTTTCTGGGAGAAATTGTCCAGTTGGTTGTTGAGCTAATTCTCCTTGGTGCTGTTAGAAGAACAGTCTTTGGACAAAGAAAATACAATGCAGCAACTTCTGCACATATTTATTCCTAAATAGCTGGAGAGCAAGAACGACTCCATAAGACCACTATAGAACTTTGCTTGCAGAATTATAAAATGTCATTCTCTTATTCCTCCTTCTGTGACTAGAAATGGACTAAAATAGTAGGGTTCACATGAAGTGGGGAGCCCCATTTTGAGAAAAGCAAATTGGAAAAGAGTGGCATCTTTATCTCCTGCTAAATGACGCTGTATGCACTTGTGAAAAGCATGCTGAGCATCTGAACATCTAATCAAATTAGAGACACCATATAATAGACCAGTGTTTATTTTGCTAATAGCTGTTCTGATTCATAGCCTTGGGTTGCATCCAGGTTTGCAAATGGCTTGCATGTCTAGCATGCAGTAAAAAGCCAAATAAGTTTTTACCAGCTTCATTTCAGCAAATCTTTTCGTGTGATCCATATTTATTGAATACATTATGGTAATGTGAAGGTTTGACTACTGTAACTACTGTAAGTGCAGCTGCCATCGGTAACTATCCCATCCCATTGATATTTGGATCTGTACCAAATATTTTTTAAGTCTTACAAAATTTGTCACAAATATTAACAACACAAGTTCAGAACTATGCATATTAAACAGCAGTGTCATTAATGGATCAATTATACCTGTAGTATAATATGGATTTATGGGAAGGTATAGTTTAAAGATAGGAGAATGTCCATTGAGATTGGCACAATATAATTTTTTGGGTCCATTTGTATGAACATTGTCCTTTTCCAGACAGGGATGGATGACTATTAATTATGCTTTTATCTATCTATCATATCCATAATAAAGGTAGGAAGACTAGTTTTCAATATGGGCTGCTAGTATTTAAAGCAGATACACTTGCAATAACACACAATCAGAGAGAAACCCCTTGGCCATAAGGGATAATTTACTTTTTTAGCACATTTTGGCTTCAAAACCACCACAAATACCATTGTAATATAGTGCTAAACAGAACAAAAAAGGACCCCTTTTGATTTAGAAAGAAGCATCAGGTTACCAAGGAGACCTAACAACTCAAGGACAAGTACAGTCATAGCACATTCTCATCCTAACAACTCCAACCATAACATAGAAGTCAGACTACAGATGAAACCCTTGCTTGTACTTAGTGTTTAAAAATATAGATGTCTCACCGAATTTTTTTAGCTTCACCCTTGTTGCTAGGTAACTTCCTATAGTCTATCCAAGTGACTAAATATCTCCTTGATTTTATACATATTCAAGTTTTTTAAAAAAAAATTGTAACCTATATATACTCTTGATCTTTAGGATCTGGTGACTTGCTGTACCAATAAATAAAATGATAGTTTGGATCCTCCCTGGTTATTTTGGTATGATTGTTGGGTATCCAAGAACTACCATAATTCTTTACTACTTAAATTATGAAACAGCCTTTTGAGATGTTTTGAGCCACTGGTGTTTCTGTACCTTCCCTGATGGTGGTGGAATGTGGTCTGGATGGCTTCGGTTCTCTTTTTGGTAGCTAGTGTGAACTTTGATCTAATCTGTGCATGGTAATCTGGATTGACTTCATCTGCAATGTTTACTGCCAATTTTGCTAGAATGCAGTGTTTTCAAGCTTGACTTTTTAAACTTATTATTTTTGGGTGTTACTCATTTGGGACTCCAAGAGATTGAATGGTCTCACATACTAAGGAAAACTCTACTAAGGTAGTCCCTCAAATCCAGGTGTTTCTAGGAGTCAGAGATTAAGCTAAAGCACCTTGTAAATCATATCAAGTTCTTTTATTCTGTTTTCCACAGAAATACCTTGTAGGGCAACTTGCCATACGGAATCACAATACATGAGGTGTTACACTGAAATACTACAAGTTCTCACAGAGCACAGCAGGACACACACATCATTTACAATGTTCAGATAAAGGTCATTGCACTTACAACTGTAAACTTCTTCTTTGTTTGATGGGTTGTTGGTTTTATACAGAACTCTTGCCACCTCCAAAATAATACAAAAAAAGAAAGAAAAATAATTCAAAACTGAAGGCAGGAGGAGAGCATGGACGGTACATGTCATGTGACAGCCACAACAGCTTTATGGGACTCTGCTATGCTTTGCAAGATGGAAAACAGTTCAGAAATTTAATTACAAACACCAGGCTTTGTTTGTTGATTTTGTTTTTCTACACAAAAGCAAGAGTTGGCAGGTATGCTGGTCGTTGAGATGGAGCCCCCACAAAAGGGGGCTGTGAGTTGATTGTTTTCTTGGGGAATTATTGTTTTTCTTCATACCATGTGAGATTTTATTTTACACACTGTACAGGTATTTACAATGGAAGGGGTCAAGGGAGATTGTAGCAGCCACTGTTGAGAAAACCAATAGGGAACACAAATTCAGTCTAGAGTTCTGAAGAAGCATCCTCAGATTATGCACTTGTCATTGCTGGGAGCCTAAGAAAAAGAGGTCTGGGTGGCTGGAAAGAAACTGAGTGAAAAAACATGTTTGTCCTTGCCAGATAGCTTGGTCTCTACATTTGAAACCAAATCCTTTTTCTCAACATTCAGTGTGTAAGTGAGTGAACAAATGGTGGGGGTCTCACTGCTTCAGTTTGCCATTCTAATTGAAATAACTTCCCAAAATGTATTACATTTATCCTAGAAAAGATGATGTACCCATATGTTAAATAAACTATAAATGTAAACCATACATCAGGAAGTTCTACTAGGAATATTAGTTTTAATCCTCCTGTTCTGTTGCAAATGATTTCCAGCCTGCCCATTATTAAAATAATCAAATATTCAGGTAGTTTTGCACTTTCTGCAAGCCTAGATTGAAACACTGGTATTAAACTAGATGTTTGAGGTGAAATCTCTGCCACCAAGGAAGGTGTGCATTCCATGGAATTCACTTAATGCTTTCCTGAGCTCCCCCCCCCCCCCTATGGTAGAACAAAAGATAAGCTTCTTGTCTAAACCTTGTATTTTTGCTAGAAAAATAACCAATTCAGCAATGCTGGAAATTTACTGGAACACAATTAAATGTAAAAATCTAGCCTTTGTTTTCCTAGGTCTAACCAACTACAGAATCAAATGACTGGTCTCTCTATGCAGGAATCCACATTAAACAATTCTTCTGGTAAAAGGACCTGCAGATGGAGAGTTTTAAAGGCTACTGTTAGAAAATAAATATTGTGGCTCAAGTGGAACTATGGGTTCCTTGATGCTCTCTGAGTTTGGTTATGTCCTTGCAAACATTTCATTACCAAACTAGGTAACTTTGGTGCACCAAGTTCAGAAAGCACCCAGGACCCCATAGTTTTAAATGCTGCATGTGATACTAAACAAACTAGTCAACTACCTTTTAACTTAGTGGATTATGAAAGGCATGTGGTTATGTTATTGCACATTGTATTGTGCAAACTCAAGCAATTGGCTGATTATAAGTAAAATTGTGGAGCAACACACAGCCAAGGAGTTTTTCCACCAAGCCCTGCCTCTCAGGAAATGACTACCTTAACTTTAGAGGTTTCACACTCAAAATACAGACTACAGAGCAGGCAAAGGGTCATACATCCAATATGTATGCAGCCTGACTTAAAAGCTGAATTCTGTGGTCAGTATCCAGCTGTGGTCAGATATAGCTTCCTACTTGCCCTTATAAAGGGCTATTAAAGATGGAGTCCTTGCCCTAACAGAGATCTGATGCAACTGTACTGTTTCCACGGTCCATGCAGCTGATAGATTTTCAATCTTCCTTGTTTCACTTCAATCAACAGAGCCAGTGGGCATTTGTAAACCTTCTTCATGAACCTAAGAAACCAGAATCAGGGGCAAATGAATATATATTCTAAAATATAGAGTCAGGATTAGGAGACTATGCTTTGAATTTGTAGAAATCATGGAAGACTTTTGTTAGGATGCTGCTTACAAAATATCAAGTTAGTGCTTTTATATGATGTGATATATCACTTTATATGCCAGTTGTCCAAAACAGTCTTAGAATAATAAGGCTTATTAAAATAACACACACTTACCTAAGGATCACGTCATACACTTTTCCAGTGTACAACTAAGGTGTTTTAAGTGCAAGCAAAGGCAAAGCATGAGTATATGAAACATATTCTCATGTACGCTTGTATTAGATAGGAATTTTAGTCAAGCAGCTGGGATCAACTGTTGATTGTGCAGACAATTGTTGATTGTGCAAACCTGATACCTGGATGGTATCACTATGGCTAACGTGAAATTACTCACTGGCCTACCAGTTCCCTTTACTAAAGCTTATTTCAATCTCTAACATTTCTAAAATATATATGTCAGCAGTACTCCTGAAAAAAATGCCTTCTTGCACAGTGTGATTCAGAGCTTATTGATGTATTTGTATTATATTATTATACAGAGGTGACATTAAGGACCTGTAGCATCCTTGTCAAGTGCATTGCCAAACAGGAACACAATCTATATTTTCTGTATCAAAAGATTATAAACTTTCCACATTTTGAAGAATCTTACTTGTAAAATATATTAGCTTCCTCTTGTTTCACTCCATTTCTCAGTATAAAAAGGTATACATTTTTGTTCCAGTTTTTGCATGGTATTCTGGCTTTCAATCAAGTCCTACAGGGAGAAAATAGCTTTGCCATCCCTGCATTAAGGGCCTGGTGGAAACACGCGGGGTTGCTTCAGATTTGGCACTGCATTTATTCCAGCCTTGAACTAACCACCTGATGGTTCTCTGCTTCCACATTTTCAGAATTTCAGAAAGGTAGGTTGAGTAGTTCTATATGTACCAACAGTTATTAGTTGCACCTTTGCTCTCCAAGTTCAAAATGCAGAAAAAAGGAATTAGGTAGAATTGATGTGTTAATTAAAATGGCTGACCTGTTCAGTCTCCCTTGCTATGTTTGTAAATTAGTAATTAGTAATTAAGTAATTTAATAAATTTGTATGCCGCCCAATCCCGTAGGACTCTGGGCGGCTTACAGAAACAAGTTAAAAGTTAAAAATAAAGAAAGAGATACAATTTTAAAAAGCAACACACCATACATTCCCTTTAGGTGGGGCTGAACCTTGTTCAACAGCCCCAGGCCTGCCGGAACAGCCAGGTTTTAGTGGTTTCTCAGAAGGCTGAGAGAGAGGGAAGGGTCCGGATCTCTACGGGTAGATCGTTCCACAGGGCCGGAGCAGCAACAGAGAAGGCCCTCCCCCGAGGGGCCGCCAGCTGGCATTGTCATTTCATTCTTGGGATACTTTTCTAGACAGTAATTTTTGAATGATTAAATAGGATTTTCATTTACATTTTGGACAGGAGGAATGTACATTAGGTTTGGATCATAGATCGTTCCACAGGGCCGGAGCAGCAACAGAGAAGGCCCTCCCCCGAGGGGCCGCCAGCTGGCATTGTCATTTCATTCTTGGGATACTTTTCTAGACAGTAATTTTTGAATGATTAAATAGGATTTTCATTTACATTTTGGACAGGAGGAATGTACATTAGGTTTGGACCATGCCAAGAAGCCCCTAAGAGTAGACCCTAGGCAGTTGGCAGGAGAGGACGTGTCAAGGGGCCTAGAGTGAGTGTAATTAAATATATAAAATCTAGTGTAATGTTCTGTGGAATAATTACTCTTCTTGGTGTTCATCGACAGGGCTTCAATAACAAGTGCATAAATCTGTAATGGCATTCAGTAAAGAAGATGAACCAACTGGAAGAAAAGAAAAAGAATTTCAAGCAAAGAACGAACGGCAAGCATTCTAAGTCGATGAAACCGTGCAGAGAAGTAGCAAGCCATGCTCTACTACAGACAGAGACAGTCACTGGCTCTATGGCTACCCTTTGGCAAAAGTGTCCCTTGAAGCATGCCACTAATTGGAAACTTCATACACACAGGTGTTTGATATAAATATATCTATCCAGGTTCTTGATAGCACGTTTGCAATTAAATCCTTATACATAACATTGAACTTATTAAATATTAACAGTTGTCTTTAAAATTTTGTAATTTCATTGCATAGAACATTAGACATGAGAATCATTTTGCTGTTACCCTTGGTGAATGGAAGCTCCTATGGGTCACACCAATGAATTGTTGTTCTTGAACATGCTCAGCGTGGATGAAAGACGGGCAGGAAACAGCACAAACAAATGGGAACTGGAGCATTGTACATTTACTGGATTTTTTTTTTACAACGAAAAAAGTTAAAAAAAAACAAAACACCAAAGGAGCTGTTTCCCAGGGTGTTCTTTCGGCTCTTGCCGTTTACAGTGCAAAGAGCTCCAAGTGGGCAGGTTTACCAACACGCTGTTCCAAGTAGCTCCTCCATCTTTCTGAGCATGCCCACCGATAATGGCTTAAGAAGGACTTGAATTGCACAGTAGGATAAAGGAGGATGGCAGAGGCAAGCTCTTCTCATCACATTGGATTGTGCTCTTGATAGCCTTCTGCACTCTATTGCTTCTGCCGACAACAGCTCAGATGCTAACTCAGTACAAAGTTAAGAGATTAATGATGTATGATACTAGGCAAAAGAAAAGAAAAGAAAAAAATTAAAGGAACCTCACAAAAAATAATAAACCAAGCCCCCAGTTTCTGGGCACCAATGAGGTATACATGTAAATAAAAGTGGAATGATTAAGGCTGTTTTTTTAAAACAAAAAAATCCCAGGCATACATAAAACAATGCACAACATTAACAATGAAAAGCACTGCCATTTGAATGCTTTAGAATGGCTTCAGGATGGCTTTGGGTGGCTGATAAGACATGCCTGGCCAGCATTTGTGTCAGTCAATAGTCAGCCAGTTCGCACTGCCTTTCAGTCCTATGGCCTCTTAACTCAGTAGTGAAACAGTGTTAGGTCCTAGTCAGAGTTCCCTTCGTCCCAGACTTTCCATTGCAGGGATGATGAGAGGGAACAAACACTGGAAGGGATGGGGGTTGATGGGGCAAACTGGAATGTGAAGGAGAATGGAGCATCCAGCTCCCAGCCCTCAGTTCAAGCACATTTTGAAGAATGGGAAAAACCTATGAAGAACTAGAGTTAAAATTCAGTAACTTTGTGTATAATCCTAAGAGAAGGCCATGGTTCTCAAAATCAGATGCTAGGCACAAATGGAACTACAGTCATAGGTAGTTTCTGGAGTCCCAAACATCTCAAGCAACAGAAAAGTGGCATGCCTGTGTGACAAGCCCTTCTTCTCTTAATTGCACCTTCTTACGTACATCTTCTCAGTCTAAGAATCTGCTTTCAACCCTTGAGCTTGCAGAACACGGATTGACAACAGTGGCTTTGAAAGTCCTTTGTGACCGTTGGCTCAGGCACCCTCCAAGAGCATCTTATGACATCCACAGGAATAAATTTGTATGAACAGCTCTTCTGTTTCGTTCTCTGAGCCTAGTGGTTTTCCATGGTTTCAAAAGCTTGATAAGACAAAAAAATAATAATCACAGAAATATATTTATAATATTTCAAGAATTAGAATCCCCAAGAATACCTTCTGAAAAAAGATACAGGATGCATCTTTTATATGTAATGACAAGTGAATAATAACCCAATCAGTGGATCATCCAATCTTCCACATCTTTGCACCCTCCATAGGTATTGGACAATGTGTTGGACATTAGTTGCAGAAGTATGAATACATTCTATCATTTTGTCGGGGAATGTGGTTGTATTCACTATACAAAGTGAAGGTAAAGGTTGAAACAGCTAGAAATGGCAATGTCAAAATTGAACAATTGAGTACTAATTAAATTAGTTGTTTCTATTTGAGATGCAATACTTTCATATACTGGAGCACCCAGGACAATATATATTAAAGCATGTTTTCTCAAAGAGACCACATTTTTTCCATCTCACCTCTTTGCTCCAACCCAGATGTACTGAATACTCAGTTCATATTTCATTCTGTATACTGAAGCAAGAGTGTGAAAAAGTTATACCAACAGGGATAAATTCATTCCCCCCCTACCCCAAATAAAAATCTATAGTGAGCTGTTTCAAATGGACAAAAAAACCATTGTAGCATCTCTGCAGTCATGTGATTGCAATTTGGGCACTTGGCCAAATTGGCATGCACTTATGATGATCACAACATCCCATAGTCATGCTATAATCATTTTCAACCTTCACAGAGAGATTCTGACAAGCAAATCAATGGGGAAGCCATCAGGAAGTTGCAAGTTGCAGTCATGGGATGTTGTGATTAACAACCAGCAGGGATTCACTAAATAACGACAGCCAGAACTGATGTCCTAAGTTGGTATGGCCAAGTGATATCATACGTAGCGACTTAGCAATGGAATTGCTGGTTCCAATTGTGGTCGGTAAGTGAGAACTACCACTGCAATAATCATTGGTCATGCATCTCTCTAGTTTTTCAAAGAAAGAATAGTTTATTAGACTTCCATGTCACTATCTTTGTAGAACTCAATTCAGCAACATGGAAAATTGAAAGAGGAGCAGGGGAGCTGACTAACCAGGCATTGGTCCAGACAGAATTGCAAGTTAACTGAGTAGACAGAAAGGAGGAAGGGGTGGACAGCTGAGAGATTTCTTAAGCTGGCTTCATTTCCAGCTTGTCAGTACCTTAAAGCTGCAATGTAGAAAAACCCAGGATTTATTTCTTTTATATATTTTTAAAACACATTTCTAGAGATGCCTGACTCCAGAGTGACGCTGGGTTTCTCACAAATTAAAAAAGGCAAGAAATATTACAGAATCAGGCAAGAATAATTGTTTCCCGGAGGGAACAATACAAACTGTCTTCCAATCTAAAGAAGCCCAGCAATCAACCAAGCCAAGGCCTTGAGTGTTGGGGTGGGGGTGGGGGGAGCCAAGGCTCATTTAAAGGGAGGAAGGACAGGACAATTTGAACTTTGGATGTTGTCCCAGAGGGCAGGTGCTGTGGAAGAGATAAGGCCCCTTCACTTTTCATACAATCTGATTCTAGGGCTCAATACACACAATAAATTCTGCACAGCCCCAATATGCACTGTTAGACCTCTGTGGTAATTTCTGTAATGTTGTGCATCTACTAAGAATTGTCTCTCAGTCACTTTTGATGAAAGTCAACTATTGATCACATTTCTACTCCTGATACATCGTGGCAGATGTGGAAATGGAGACAAATAGATGATACTCACTATTATACCCAGAGTTCAGAGTGGCAAATGAATTCCAATGGATTCTTCATAGGTTTTTCCAGTGCAAGGATGAGATTTCACTTATTTCCCCAAATGCCTGCTGAATCAGGGATGAGAGAAACAAGAAAAAGAAACAGTTGTTGGTAAAGAGAAAGAAAATTCTAAAAAAAATAAAGGAAAACAGAAATGAAAATAAAGGGATACTCAGATTAAGCAGCAATAAGATAACCTGCTTCAGGGCACATGTCAATTTAAGGTCACTGATGGGAACAGAATTCTTTCAAGTAATAAATAAGAATTTTCTGGGCTCTGGCATTTCAGCGCGTTGACATGGCCCTGGTAGTTATGGATAAAGACATTGTGGATGGTGCATGGAGTACCCAGCATGACTCACCGAATATTGTATTCTCACCAAAACGATGTGAATTTCTTGCCAAAAGCTGATACGGCTGTTGAAGTAAGGAAAGACAAATCAGTGCCTACAACTGTCTGATACAGTATAAGGTTGAGTCTGAAGCTCTATAGTGCCCAAAGTATGCGTGCGCACACCGGAACCCCCAAAATGCAGTGTGCGCACCCCCCGCACATGCCCACTTCTGCGTATGCACACCCTGCACACGCCCCATGCATGCGTGGCATAGACTCAAAGACCAGATGGCTGGTAGGAGGCATGCGCACATGCGCAGCGGACTGAACTGGGGTGACAGCTCATATGCCACCAGAGAGGGTGCTGTGTGCCACCTCTGGCACACATACCATAGGTTCGCCCTCACTCTATATTCTTTTAACCAGAACTTCAAGTTTTTTCCTAAAATATTTATGCATGACATCCATAAAGCACATCATGAGCAGTTTATAGTAGTAATAACAGATACAACACTCAGTGAAAACAATTTACAAAACAAAAATTCTGGTGGAATTAGCCTGTTGAATGCACATAGCTCTTCTCCATGCAATCTCCATGCACTGAAGTGCCTTGCTTCCTCTGGGCCTCCACGAAAGCTCTGAAGAGGTAATTATTTTGCAGGAAGCTCTGGTATTATGATGGACAAAAGAGCTTCCTTTAGGTAACCAGGAATGTTGGGCTAGAGTGATCCCCCCCTCCCAATATCTTTTAAGGTACTTTCTTTGAATCGTACTTACTTTGTTTGATTGAGACTAAGAAAATAGGACATAAAAGGTTGTACAAACAAAACACATAACTAAATAAATGACACAAATGATACTCATTTGGGAGAGAATTACCATAAACCACAAGGTATTACTACCCAAGAAATCACTAGCATTTGTACCAGAGAGTGATAGACCATTCGTGGTGGTTGACCACTGAGTGGGACTTCCCCCCCAAAAAAGAGAGTCAATGATGATCATGTTCTGGTCCTGAAATCCTGTCCACAAACAGTATATGGTTTCTGAGGTTATAACCAGCATCTTGACTGCTAACAGACAGAGCAGCAGGACAGATCATCTGAATCGCAATCATCTGAAAAGTGAACACTTGAAAATATTGTGACTCAGAATTCCCACCTTCTGTCAATTTGCCTGCTTGTTCTGCTGCCCCTCCTGGCAGGATTTTGGATAAGACACTTTCACCCTCTGCTCCTGGCTGTCCAGCTGCTGCTCCTGTAGATAAGGATGCGCCTGTTGGTTTGGGGCCCAATTTAATGCCTGTGGGAGAAAGTGGTAAAATAAATTAATATGTATGAATTCAATAAAATGGATGCCATACTTTACCACCAGGAAACAGTTTGTAAAAAAATTATCTTTACTCACTAATGAAATACAATCAGTCTTGCGAGAAAAAAATGTCAGTGGCAAGCATTTATTTGTTCAGAATATTTATATCCAATCTTTCCATACAGAAAATGGTCCTTTCAGTGACCAGAAATAAAAGAAAATACAAAAGAACCCAATGCCCAACTAAAATAAATTTAACCTAATAGAAAAGCATAACAGCTAAATATTCAGTAAATCTGTCATTTAAACCGGACGTTTCCAATTTTTCCAATTGGAAAAGACCTGTGGATTTCAACCTCCAGTATTCCCCAGCCAGCCATGGCTTAAAGTTGCCACGGTTGGACACCCCTAATTTAAGCAGTCCAAAAGCCATCCAGAGTTATTCTGCAGTAAGATGGGTGGCCAATAAATTTGATAAATAAAATAAAAAAAGCCTAACATGAATATATGCACCTTGATAGCCTTTCTGAAGATAAAAATATAAGTTCCAATCTGAACTTTCAATGAAACGGGTTGCAAAGTATGAGGGCAAGTCAAAAGAAGTTCATGTCTTATCTGCAGGAAGGGCCATTTTTTGCACATAAAGTAACTGGAAGTTACTGATATACGTTTCTCAATGAAAGTAGTACTTTAAGCTGAGCTAAGTAAAGAGCAAGCAATTTATTATCAGTTTTTAATCAGGGTGAGATGTTCCATCCTCTCTGTTCACAGGAAGAAGACACTAAGAAGGCTTCTTTTACTTGTGACACCTTTACCATGACTTACACAATTCTAGTCTTATGTGGATTTTTTCTATACTATTTGGCGCATATTTTGAGGCCAACCGTGACCAAACATTTCTCCTCTTCTTGATCTTGCCTAGGGTGTCATGTGATCATTTTGAAATTCATTTTGAAAAAGCAAGTGGAATCTTTCCTTGGGAAATCAACTCTGCTAGTGTTCCCTAGTGAAATGCACACAATTGTAGGTGCTAAAAACACATGCCTAGTTGAGAAGCTGCTTACTGACCTCCAGCTGTCCCCTGTGGTTGTGTCTGGGGTGCTTTCCCCACCTGTGGCACTTTTGTGGTAGGCTTGGATACATCCGGCTGTTCTGCTTTAGCCTATAATGGGAAACAGAAGTTTCATTTGTTGGTTTAAGAAAGCCTTTTTTCTCCCAGTCTCTGATTTGGGGGATAGCAATGCATGCTAGAGAAAAAGTATCTTAATATGAAACCCATCTGCTGAAAACATACCTAGCATCTTTGACGCCATAATTTTAAAAAGCTGACTCATCTTTGTTATTTCTAATTGGCCCTTTACTCATTCTAATTCTCCAAAGATCTCCTTCTTTCCAACGTTTCCAAGTTTCTTTAATTCTAGACTCAATGACAGAAAAGGGTAATTGTTTTCAGGTGGGGGCTCATTTTAGACCAGCGGGTGACAAACTAGAAACCACATTTCAAAGAAAGGCTGTGCCAAGAAAAAAATACGATGTAAATATTACAATTACTTAGTTGAAGACAATTAAATATGATCATCCTCTGTGTATTTAAATATTCTAACCTGTCAAATTCAAAATTAAATTTTGGCATCCTTTGGGGGAGGAGTGGGTTCTGGTCATCTTTACTGCCAGTTCGTTCAGGTGCATGCTTTGTGCATACGCATAAGCACATGCACAATTCAATTAAAATTATTTTGCACTTACACAGAACTCAGAAACAAGATGGTGGCGGTGACGGCAGCAACTGTGGAACCAGTTTGGGGGTTGTGGCAGGCCTGGGCTGCTGCCAGTTCCAGCGACCCAGGCTGCCATACCACTACTGGTTCGGCCAAACCAGGCCGAACCGGTAGGAACCCAGCTCTGTTTTGGGGACTCAACCCCCAAACTTGGAATTGCTAAAAGCAGCTCTGTGGCTGTGGGCTCTACTCTCCTGTCAGCCCTCTGAAGTAATCCAGGCAGGAAACCAAAACAATCATTACTAAAAATAACTTTATTGTAAGGTTAAGGTAACAGAATCTCTTGGGACTTCCGGGGAGGATCTTAGCCGTCGGCAGCGGCTTAATTGAGCCGCTCCCAGACTTCTGGTTCGTTATCTAATTAAACACCCTTTAGATAACTCAAACTTCAGATAAGAAGATTGTAGTGAGCGTCTCAGCTGGTAAGAACTTTTCCTTGCAGTTTGTGGCTTTTTTTTTCTGCTGCAAACAAGGGGGGGGGGGGTTGTTTTTTTTAAGCTGAGTCATCTCCGGCCAGATTTCTCTGCTGTATTAACAGCACAAGGCCAAGACCCCCCCCCCGTAGGACAAATTAATGAAATTATTTTTTTTCTT